CCCTAACATCCTTTAAAAAAAAAAGAAATTGGAGTCATAATGATTATAAGGGCATGCTTGGACAATCATGATAAGCTAATCCCTCGCCATTTTTTCAAAAAGCGGGCGGTTTTTTAACATTTGCCCTAACATCCTTTTTTTTTTCAATAAACTTTTACTACATCACATCCCATAATATAACATTAAATCACATCACACCAAATCACACTACATTACATCGTATTATATCACAGTATATTACAGCATATCACATCACATCACCTCTATATATCACATCATCACATGAAATTAAATGTCATATATCACATCTAATCCAGGGGCGGCTCCAAAGGGGGGGGGGGGGGGCTGAGGCGATGCGACACCCCCCCCCCCCACCTGTCAGGATATTGTCGGTAAAATTCCGCTGCCGTCGTGAAAAAAGAGAAAAGGGGGAGGGGAAAAAAGAGGGAAATGGAAAGAAAAGAAAAGGAAAAGAAAGAAAGAAAGGAAAAGAAAGTAAAAGAAAGTAAAAGAAAAAAAGGAAAAGAAAGTAAAAGAAAGTAAAAGAAAGGAAGGAAAAGAAAGGAAAGAAAGGAAAAGAAAGGAAAGAAAAGAGAAGAAAGAAAGAGAAAAAGAAAAAGAGGGAGGAGAGGAAAGAAAGAAAAAGAAAGAAAAGAATAAAAAGGATAAAAAGGAAAAAAGAAGAAAAAAGAGAAAAGGGAGACAAAACAAAAACGGGGGATGAAAGAGAAGAGAGAGAGGGGAGGTAAGAGCCTAATAGAGGAAGAGTGGGAATAAAAGAGAGAGGGGTGTTGTTGGGTGGAGTCGTCTCGTCTAGGGAGCAAGAAAGACACGGATAAATGTGTTGCTGTGTCGGTATTCTTGTTCGATCCTCGTGTAGCATATCATTGCAGAATATTGAAGTGAGATGTATATTGTCGGTCGGCCGACAAGTTTTTTCCCTACGAACTGTGACTTTTTATCCGCTGTGACGACTTCGAGAGTGACTACAACTACGATACTTGTATTTTCTCGAAGATTCACTTTCCTATAATATCAGAGGTTTACAATTTTCGGGGAAACAAGGATTCAAACAAGGATTAGGAATCAACAACAGTACGAGGAATCGTCTTCCTTTCTCTTTACTTTGATGAAACGCCAAAAATTCCACGCTTCGCGTGGGAGGGGGAAAACTTCATTTAGACGAGTCAAAACGGTACAACGAATCGTCTTCTTTAAAACTGAATTTAGATAAGGATTAAGAGTCGAGAACAGTACAACGATTCGTCTGTTTTCTCTAATAATTTGGGGAAACATCGAAGCTTCCGCGCTTCGCGCGAGAGGGGGAAACTGAATTCAGACAAATAGGGCTTATTAAGAATCGAAAACGGTACAACGAACCGTCTGCTTTCTCTAATAATTTAAGGAAACGTCAAGGCTTCCCCGCTCCGCGATGGAGGGGGAAACTGAATTCAGATAGATAGGGCTTAGTAAGACCCGAAAATGGTGTAACGAATCGTCTTCTTTCTATAATAATTTAATCAAATGTCTAAGCTTTGTATATAGAAGGGAAGGGAGAAACTGAATTCAGACAAGGATTAAGAGTCTAAAACGGTACAACGAATCGTCTGCTTTCTCTAATAATTTAAGGAAACGTCAAAGCTTCCAAGCTTCGCGCTAAAGGGGGGAAATGAATTCAGACAATTAGGGCTTATTAAGTGTCGAAAACGGTACAACGAATCGTCTTCTTTCTCTAATAATTTAATGAAACGTCAAAACTTCAGCGCGAATGTTACTTCATTCAGACAAGGTTAAGAGTCGAGCACCATTCAACAGATCGTCTGCTTTTTCTCATAATTTAATGAAACGTCAAAGCTTCCGCGGTGGAGAAACTGAATTCAGTCAAGGATTAAAAGTCGAGCACGGTTCAACGAATCGTGTACTTTCTCTAATAATTTAATGAAACGTCAAAGCTTCCGCGCAAAGCGTGGAAGGGGAAGAAACTGAATCCAGACAAGGATTATCAGTCGAGAACGGTACAGCAAATCGTCTTCTTTTTATAATAATTTAATGAAACGTCAAAGCTTTCGCTCCGCGCTGGAGGGGGGGGGGGAACTTCATTCAGACAAGGATTAACAGTCGAGACGGTACAATAAATCGTCTTCTTTTCCTAATAGTTTAAGGAAACGTCTAAGCTTCCGCGCTTTGCGCGGGAGGCCTATCACCCTCACCCCCTTAATGAGCGCGCGAAGTGATTCGCTTGCTCACTACCGCCCCTCCCTAAAATAAGATTCTAGCTCCGCGCCTAATTTAAAATATATAGCTATGATGCTGACTAAGTTGACGAAATAATTCGTATATTACGGTCGTCGAAGAAAATGACCATTTGCGCATACGCAAGTACTATAGATAGTCCATACGAAAACCAATTTATCCTTCAGCCCCGGTTTTATAGGGTTAAATTTGTAGATATTGGGACATTTAATTTTGTCGGTAATTGGTGACTAGTTTTGTCGGTAATCGTTGGTCTCTACACCCCCCCCCCCCCCACTGAAAAAGGTCTAGCGACGCCCCTGGTCTCATCACATCATATATCACATCATATCACATCGAATCACAAAATCACGTCACATCACTACAAATCACATCAAGTAATGTTATGAAGAGAAGTAAAAATTCCCTTCAACCACACCATATCACATCACATCACAAAACATCAAATTAAATAACATCACACCATATCGCATTATCACATTAAATCAAACCACATCATATCACATTACATTACATAAAAGCACATCACATCATATTACATGACATTACAACATCACATCAAATTACGTCATAACATCACATCACCACATGACATGGCATCATACCATATCATATATCAAATCTCATCATTTCATATTAATAAAATTACATCATTACATCACATCACATCACATCACATCACATCACGTCACATCACATCACATCACATCACGTCACATCACATCACGTCACATCACATCACGTCACATCACATCACGTCACGTCACATCACATCACATCACGTCACATCAAATCATATCATATTACACCACACCACTAACATCATGTCATGCCACACCATATCACACTAAATAGCTACATGTATGAATGTCACCGATAATCTTATGTGGCTGAATCACTTCCTTTACTGTGAAGGAGTCTTAATTTTGCTTAAGATTGTGTTAAATAACCAAAAACTGTTCTGAGTCTCATGTCCGTTACGCTGGGATTGCCCAAACATGTATCGAATGCTCACATAATTTGCTAATATAAAAGTTACCTAGTTTATCGCTTTAGTGTCGCTGGAAACTCCACAGTGGATCCACATTGCGTGTCGAATAAGCGTGGTTGAGATAGGCCATGGGAGTTCATGCTTTCACGGAGCATGAACTTGTAACACAGTCACCATCCAGTCCTCGAGAGATGATAATCAAGTTGTAGAAAGTAAAGAGGAAAATAAGGATCATCCATTTCGAGTTAATTTCACTGTTTCCCGTCCTTGTTTTCTATTACGGCAGACGGATGGTCCTTTGGCCGTCAACTACTTATTGAGTAAGACGTGAAAGAGCTCGCTCGCACAAACACAAACAAGTACAAGTTTAATTCACTCGATTGTGACTATTTGTATTCGAAGTAATTAACCGCAATCACATTGCATTCCAATGATTCTCAAACCAGAATTACAATGCCAAACAAATTGTTCGCTCCTCTCTTTCAGCTGTTAATCATTGAAATGCAAGATAAGTTGGATCGTATTCATGGCAAGCGTAACGAGAGATGATACGAGCCAGCCCGCCAGGGCAGAATAGATTGAATATTTTAGGCAGGTGAACGTAACGCTATTTAGAGGGCGGGAAAGTTTAGAAAGGCATTATAAGTAGGTGGATTAGAGAAAAGGAGATAAAAGGTCAATCGCTGGGAAAGGAAGGGAGTCGTACCATCTTTCGAATAGGCCATTTTCGTAATGTTACCAAATTGATGAAATTGCCTTTGTGAAGCGCCTCAATACAAATTATTTCATTCCCCTGTTAAGAATAAATGTATCTAAATAGTCAGAATTCGCATTCGATACTTTAGTTGTTGCTAGGTAGGACACAAAGTTTGGCTTGCCCTAGCTAGCTAACAACACGTAATATATGCAATGTGCATTCTGAATCTTGAAATACAATTATTCGTAGCAGGTGAATGAAATAATTCGTATCAAGGGCAGGCACTTAAGTTTAAATTTGGTTACATTACGAAAATGGCCTATTACCGATTTGTCTTCACCTCTCTAGACCCATATGTCCTTTCCGCCATTTTCTCGTTATTTGGTTGTGAACGAGACAGGCACACCCCTCGGCTACGTCAATGTAACATGTATGGTATGATCTCTCGCTGAGAAAGAGAAGACGAACAACAAATGGAAGACACAATTAAGGCCACAGTAGATCTCGTATGATTTATATATATCTTATTTTATTTTTTTGCCATTCTTTTCATGTAGACAATCACGAAACATGCACAAAATATAAAGACACGCAAAGTCACAATCAATATCATTACATCAAAAATATGTAAATTATACAACAAGATATTCTTTTCACTGTCAATGGCGTGTGATTATCTATGAACACTGTTTAAAAAAAAATGCAGCACGGATAACATAAAATTCATGCAGAGTTGTCTTCTTCGCATAACATTTAAAAATTCTAGCTAGCACAACTATCACTACCAGACCTGATCACTACTATCGAGACCCTACCCTGGACAACTATCCCACATAAAGACGTCCCCTAGTACAACACTATCCTCCAACAAATCTGCACTGGGATAACTACATATGATATCATAGGCCTAGGCCCAGGCGACTAACCCGTCTCTACCCTCTACAACAACCCGTCCAGGGAAGGGGATGAGGGGGGGGGGGGTTGTCCAGGAGACTTGTGACCGGTGGAGTGTTTTGAGGTTAGTTTTCTAGACAGCTATCTGGAAAAAGTTATCCAGGTATGTAAAGAAGAAAAAAGCTTCATTTAAAGTCATTAAAGCAACTTTCATAAACACGCCCTCTTCCATATTGATCAGCAAAAAAGGGAGTTTTATTTCACTCTTTGACTAAACCAAGAAAGAGCCTAAAGAGGTGAGGTTTATTTAACACCATAAATAAACAAAACATACATAGATAATCTAAGAATACAAAAAGCATGCCAATTAAATTAAAAACTAATTATCTCACTTCATTACATAGTTACATGTAACTGTGAATATCAAAGTCTATCAATCAGATAAAATGAATTTTTTTTGTCATGCACCCTGACGTAGGAAAAATATACATGGACATGAACTTTTTCAAAATGTTATACCCAGTGAATTTATATTTTGTTGATGAAAACGTAAGCCTACTAGGCAAAAATTGCATTCAATAGACATTTACCAAGTTATGAAAATACTTTTGTTCATCATGTACATTCATCAATACACTGTAAGTCTTTAAACAAAACAAAAAAGTCTCATTTTACAATTAATGGATTCGAAAAAGACCGACAACATAAAAAGTTGGTCATGTCCCAACCAAGATTTGAACGTTTTTTTTTTTTTTTTTTAAATAATCCATGATGATAAGCAGACGACAATGTCTTCCATGATAAGGTCAGCACCCCCCCCCCCCAAAAAAAAAAAAATAAGCGGGAGCGACTCGGAGAGATTCGAATATTGATTTCCCATAATCAGATTTCACGTGCTAGTCCAAATATGTATTTTTCAGGTCTGTTGAAGAGAATTATGCATTCAACAGTTTCAATCTTAATTTAAAGTAAACTTAAGGTTATGACTGAATATGAGTGAATGAAACCCCAACATTAATGTGTATCATCTTGTCAATTTCTGCAAGTGTGTTTTGATTCTTACCTTGCCTTTCACGTCAATAAAAGTACATTTAGAAATTAAAATAAAAGTATGCTAGTTTGATTCATCAAAATCAAAGACACTGATTTCATCTATCTTGTCTATAGATTAAAAAAAACGTTTTCTTTAAAAAAAAATCGTAGTTTTGACAAAAAATGATGTGGAAAATTTAGAAATTGTGAGGAATTCATAATTCATACAATGTCTGGCATATCAAGGAAACAGTCCTATGATGCTCACATCATAAACAAACATAAAAATGTCATGAAAAAATATACCAAATACAAATAATGTTGTATTTGGTGGTCCTTTTAAATTCTGCATAAGAAATGACAGATACATATCAAAACAGTCTAAACTAAACTGTTAACAAAATCCATAATAACGTTTTGCAATTTATCATATAAATGTTATATAAAAGTAACAGAGTTTCACAACTTTCTTACGGATTTCAAATACTTGAATATAATATCTGCACACAGAAAACTAGGAGGGAAATGTTGGAGGTCACTAACCCCACCTGAACACACAAAGTTCAAACACCAGCTATTTAACACAAATAATAAAGAATTCAGTAACTGAAGGTATGCATACAGTATGTCCAATACCCTACTATTTGCAAAACAACACCAAACAACTCAAGCCAGACGGGCATTAAAATGGAAGAAACGAATAGAAGAGTGCGATTTGACATCAAGGCCATTTTCGTTGACTAAGAAATACACTAGCTAATGCTTTCTCATTCCAAATTGCAGCATATATATCAATTTCGTATGATATTTTCAACACAAACAAAATATTCAACAATAATGTGACTACATGTATTACGAACAAAATTCAAAATACTTTCTATACACTGCCAATTTGAATACTAGTAAAATCAATTATTACATTCATCGATTGCCAGATTAAATCAAGAAAATTGCATGCACCATACGATTAAAAAAATATATATACAAAGATGATCCACCGGAAACCAGAGATAAAACAATCTACTTTTATTCTGGCATTTTGATGGAACAAATATACACCAAAACATCAAAAATACAGTTATCAAAATATGAATAGAGTAAGCCTGCTTACATTTTTGAATAAGACCTGCTGACAGGTCAAAGATGATAACTATGTGCAAAAAAGTGAGTTCTCAATCCTATTTCTCAACAGCATTTCTCTTTTCTTAAAACATGCAAACATGTTACTCAGCCTTAGTCCACATGCATACGGTCTCTTAATCAAAGAGCGCCATCACTTTCATTACGCCCCTGCGTATGAAAATTGAATTGTCAATAATTATGACCGTCGGAGAGGAGGAGGACTTTCCAATTGATTTAGTCCAATGGGTCCTTTGCAAACAATTCGGTAGGTCAGTGGTTTGAACGTCTACTAGAGTGAGAAAATTAAAACCTTGAGAACATTTGGTATCGTGGGCCTCTAGTCTTATGTGATTTCCGGTCAACAGAACTTGGCCCCAAGTATGTTTCTGAAGATAAATTAATTTGTGATCTTTTGCTCTTTTTGTTTCACATGGGAATTCAATAAATTCTTGATGCTGTGGTCGGAAACAGTGACGTAATCAAGGGTCTGTCGACATGCACATAACCTTAAACAGGAGGTTGTGGTCAGTTCCTGGACGAATAGTTGAGCATATACTAAACAAGGGCATTTTCTCCGTTTCCATGGAAGTTGAATGACAGTATCCGGCCCTGTCACAACCTCTGGACGTTTCAAGGATGTCTTTGAAGGTGAATCCATTTGTGATTTACTATACATTGCACTTCAGAATCGTTATAGACACAAAATTACTGTACATTTGAAGATAAAAACTTACAAGCAAATAAATATGTGCACTATTTACAACAATCCTTTTTACATCAAGGGTACCGACGTGCCGATCATTTTCAACAGTTCGTTAAAGACAGAAAAGTAGATGACAAAGTTTTAAAGAACTGTTTCATGGTCCGTGGAACAAGGGATCAAATGCAGCTCAAGCGGCTTCTGTGTACCTTCCTTTTCGGTAGGCGTAGTGTTGTTCGATTGTATACCACTATCTGCCCGACTGTTCTTACGGAAGGCATCTTCACTGTCCGCCGCGTGGTTGTAATCCTGGTGCGGCGTGAGGGTCAGGCCGCAGTTGTTGCGATTCCTCTCGGCAGCTTCCGTAGGGTGCACATCTTCATCGTCACTATGGTAACTCTGAACCACCTGAGGTAAAAGGTAATGTTTTTCTTTGTAACTCTCTTCATTCGTGTTCCTCGTATCGCGCTGGTAGAATGAGACAGTGGGCTCGTACTGACCATCGTAGTTGTCATTCTGGTCGACTTCTTCAGGCACGGTTTCCAAGCCTTCAATGGAGACCTCGAATGTGACACTGACCCGTTTGACAAACGACTGATGCTTCTCTGCTGCTGTCGACTGGTGGTTATTTGACTGGCGGTCATTTGACTCGCGGTCATTCGACTGATGGCGCTGAGCGTCTTCATCCCTCGACCGCTCTTCGCGAAAGGGAACCATTGGAATCGCATTTGAATTTGCTTTCATTGAGTGCTGAGGACTCCCGTTGGAATTCGAGATAAAATCCTTTTCATAGGCCACCGACGATTGGTTATCGCTGGTAATGCCTGTGAGCACTGAACCAGACGAGTCTCGATGGTATTGCTTGACCCTATTGTCATGTGCAGTAGAGTTAATTTGTGAAACTGAGCGCTGAGCGCTCGACGCCGTTGGATGGTATTTCATCGCCTGCTTCTCGCACATTCCATGTTTATAGAGCAGAAGATACAGATCACGTCGGAATGCTTTTGTGAAGATAGCATATAGAAATGGATTTGCACAAGAGTTTATAGGATAGAAAAGCACTATAAAGATTTTCGATTGGTTTGTGGTAAGTAGGTGGTGTCCGAAGGCACCTGAGAGACCAAAAAGTGCCATGGGAGCCCAACAAGCGAAGTCTGTGAAGACTAAGACAGCCATACGTTTGGCTACTTTAGAGTCCTTGCGCTGCATGACAGTATGGGGATTCCTTACCGTCAGATACATCTTGACGTAGCATGCGCAAATAACAGCAAAAGCAATAGTGTTCACGAAAAGAATGACAACCACATATGCAATAGTAACGGTGTCTTTCCTGTTCTCAATGTAGAATGGCAAACACATGCTTGTAATGCCATAGTTTCCAACCTTGAACAAAGGCAAGACAGCTATCAGTATTGAGAAGATCCATCCGACTATCATAATTCGACCCGCTAAACGGAGTCGTATGCGTTTGTTGAGATCAATCGCGTAGATGATGGTGTACCATCGTTCAATAGTGATGACCGTGAGAGAAAAGACGGAAAGTTCGCTCGATAGCATAGATATAAACCCTGCCACACTGCACCCAGCTCCGTACTGCCACTGAATTGAATAATTGAAGTATTCCCCCGCGGTGTGGACATCCACTGAAGCTACTATTAGGAGGTACAATCCCATGCACAAATCGGCAAGCGATAGGTTACACATGAGGAACTTTGGGACGGTCATCTTGTGACGTTGCGAGGCAAGTACCACAAGAACAATGAAGTTTCCGACGAGTGCTGTGCCTGAGACAAACCACACCATGACCCGAAGGAACACATAGCCCATGACATCCGTACAGGGATGGAAGGCATTAGGCTGAGGAGTGCACTGCACGTCCGAGTAATCCGTTGTTACAAGATCACCATCGCATTTGCTACCGTTATGGTTGTAGGATACGTTCGGGTTGATGACTACCGGATTGAAGCCGCCCTCCTCTTCCGCACCCGGTGGTTTCTGTCCCGGTATACTCTCCTCGATGATTGAGCCATTGAGCTCTCTCGGATCGAAGGCAGAATTCGGCAGGCTCTCCTTCTGCATGTTCGTGCCCTGAAACTGTCCAAAGAGTGACTGGCCATAATCATCGATGTCCGAGCCACGTTGGATGGTGGTGTCGGTCCCCGAGAGGACAAATGCTCCATCCCCGAAGCCGATGACTTCAATTCCACGAGATGTGATTGTTGGCATGGTGGTCGAAGGGCACGACGTCGTTCTAATCTTCGTGGTTACGTTCTGTTTGTTCACATTGCCATAGTTCTCTTTGGTCTGGTAGTTGAACGCACAGCAGTGACTGAAGTAGTTTAATTTGGCGACGCGAATACGCTCAAAGCGGAAGATTGGAGGGAAGACTGCAAGTTTGTCTGTTCCTTCGATATTCAGCTCGATTAGATACTTCAGGCCCGTTGTAGGCAGGTAACTAATGTCCGTATTCTCCAGTGACCTGAGAACAAAATACATTGAAAAGACTTCCATCACCTCAATGAATAGTAAGACTTTCTGACTATAATATTCTTAAAGACGTCAAGTTGTATGTCAAATAACTTTTATTTGTACACCTTGTAAGATAACATGACGATTAAACAGGTCTCAATGGATTATTATTAAGTACAATTTCCCATTGTCAAATATTTTCGATTTCAAATAACCTACAATTTGGTTAACCATATCAATTAACCGATCTTAAATAAGCTACATGATATCATTACGACTGCACAGAATGATAATCATTCCAATGTATCACCGCCTATCGGGCAAAACTGATAACAAATATAAAAAACATTAATAAACCAAGTATAATAATTTAATTAAAGAAATGTACTTTTCTACTTACAGGTTTTCGGGTCCTTCAAATTCAGCAAACGCCTTTTCCTCCAGTACAGAGATAGGATTGTACGCCAAAGACCTAATAGAGGCATGAAGAAATGAAATGGTATTTAGGGTAATAAATACAAACGGTGGCAAAAAATTGTTTCAGTAGCAGAGATATTCTGTTTTTTTACCCTGATTCAATACTTAACTTCAGGGGTTGTTGTTATCTTTTATCTAACTAATCTTTTTCCAGAAGGACAATTCAAACAAAATGTTTTGCGAGCTAAATGTTTTTTTTTTATAGTATAATAGTATAACGTGGTCGCAAATACTTTCAAAACATCAACGAACGTGATTCATATAGGCAGTATAATTTGGGTATTGAATTAAAAATTGCGCTTGAGGTGATTTCTTGAATGTTTTTGAGCCAATATTTTAGAGCGTGATAGGCAATTCAGTTATATACTTACAGACTCTCTATCGTTGATCCACGAAATGCATAGTCAGGAACAGTTTCAATGTTGTTCCTCTCCAGATTTCTGCATGGAAACAAAATAAAATATTTAGGTAAATCAGTATATGTTACTACAAGGTCTTGACCTTCCTGACCTTACGACCTCATCTAGCCTTCATGGTCAGTGCCATGATCCTATAATACAATTCTTCATCAGCATGATCAGGAACTGCTTCAGTGGTGAAAAGAAAAGCATTTTCTCCTTTACCCGGGGTAGCCATATCAGTATTTATATTGATGCAGGCAATATTTTCACCCCTGCATCGCCAGGTATCCATTTAACAAAGTCTGATGGCTATGTGATCTGCTTGTAAACCGATTTGGGAGTTGACCCACTCCTCCTCCCCTTTACAGAATTCTGGAGCCGCCTGTGTAAAGTGATGCAAAATGTGCCCGATTTTTTGTGTGAGTGCTTACAACCAGACAATAATCGCCGATTAACATATCTATTCAAAAAGTGGATCTGATATTTTCCCCTTCAAATCACAACATCCATTAGAAGAAGCGGGTGACATTAAGACGGCGGGAGAAAATAGCAGGTGGGTGTTGAGAAGCAGTTATTTTCAACGAATGTCAATACAGGCCGCACTGGATTTGAGTGACTGCTGGTGAGAGTTATGAAGAGGAAACACTGAACGTTGTCTAGTGTTTCAGAGAGGAGGTCCCGACGGACGTGAATCAGCGTATATATATTGGATACCCCTAGAGGGATGCAATAAAAGCATATGTCTAAAGGGAATCAAGAATCGTTGAATGTCGCCCCGAATGTTCTCAAGTGACTCCCAGCGTTTTATGGAAATGTGTTCTATTTGGTGTTTATCGACCCCCTCCCCTGGCGTTATGATATTGCCGTGCCCTGGTGACAGAGTATTTATCATACCTTAAACTTCAAAAGACCAATCTTTCTTTCGGTATTTGTTACGTTTTGAATTTATTTGAAAATTAAGAAAAGAAGAACTTAACATATCAATTCTTCAAAGAGATAATATAAATTTAAATTACACACCGAATAATAGCAACTTCTGAGTAAACTAAGTCTTGTGGTCAGTAAATATTTGACGTTCCCTGCATGTCTTTAAATACAATCATTTCTCTGTTTCACCTATTCAATTCAATTCACTTTGAATATATTTTTGTATTCGTGAAGGAGAGAAGGAGAGGGGGTAATTTTATGTTATCTTTAAGCGATATCAGCATACCTTTGGGGTAGGCTTATTAGTATACTTTTAGTGGACGCCTCTTGACCAAAAACCAGCTATTTCCTAAAGTATGTGAGCATACGAAGCGAGTGAGCAAAAAAGTGGATTCTTTTTAAAGGGAAAGTCCACCCCAAAAATAATTTTGTTTCGATAGAGGCAGAATAATAAGAAAATCAGGTGAGTGAAAGTTTGAGCAAATTCTGAATGAAAATAAGAAAGTTATGAATTATTGAAGTTGTGATCAATCAAATACAAATTGGCAACTCTGTGACTTATTATACGAGCTCTCCTTCATTTGCTTTGTGCATAATATTCCATAAAATCATGTTTTCTTCGTTATTGATGACGGAATATATATTTGTTCCTTGCAGGGGGAGTATAGAAACATATTTGCAATTATTATATTTAGGGTGCATGTATGGTTGAAATTTTTCTTGAGGGAAAATGAAAATTTTAGATTTTTTTAGTACTGAGCAAATGGAAGTTGAGCTCGCATGATACGTCATAGAGTTGCCAATTTGTGTTTGATTGATCACAACTTCAAAAATCCTAACTTCCTTATTTTTAATCGGAATTTGCTCTCATTTTTCTACTCCTATTAAAACTAACTTAATTTCAGGGTGGACTTTCCCTTTAAATGTAAAGTGCTATTTCGTCATCAACATACACTAGAAAATTCGCTGCTATCAAGATAACCGGGAACGTAGCTTTTCCGAATCATGAGGTGATGGTTGTCTGACAATGTCGGTCTCGCGGGCTTACAGATGTATTCTTAAAGAAGCCCTAAGAGACCAACAATGTCGGTATGGTGAGCTTTAGACATGGTTACTTACAGCTTGTGAATTCGCAGTCCTTTGAATGCTCCAGGTACAAGCGTCCTCAAGTTGTTCCAGGACAAATCTCTGAAAAAATTAAGAGAAAAGTCAAATCATAGTGGTAGATGATCTCGATTACCCTAAGATTGCAGGAAAATAAACAATTCATTAACTGCTCAACTATTACGAAATCTTATTCGTCTCATTTTCCTCCTCTCTCTTTCTCTTTATATAAGTAATTTTTCATATTCTCTTACTCGTGCCTATATAGCTACGATGTATATCTTTCGTTGCTCATCGTAGACGAATGTATTTCAGAAAACTTTTTCTTGTCAGGAGAATACGAAATAAATCGGACCTTTATGTCACATCATTATTTCATAGGAGATGACATTAACATTGTTTTTCTCAATGTATGTTGATCTGAACACCATCTGGAGCAGATGTGGAAGAGAAGTCGACAGAATAATGAGAAGTTGAAGAGAAAGATGTACCCTCTAATTAATCATAGACAAGCACACTAAAAAAAAAGACACATAAGGAATGGAAAGACGTCAAAGAAAGAAAGAAAACAAACGCGTGGATAGCAGGTGAACAAGCACATTAAGGACAAGGAAATAGCTACATGACGGGGACGAAGATAAGGAGGAAAATGGAACATGTCCCAATTCATTTTCATGAATTCGGACATTTTCTTTTTCCACTTGAAATAGATGACATTTACGGGGAAATAGATATTGCCTATTACTGATATATGACTAATTCAATGGCCTTTTTAAAATGAGGGAGACAGAGGGAGCATTGGACTACCTACGAGCTAGAAGATTGGAAGTTGTATATTTCTGGCATTTAGGTTAAATTATATTTATATTCTTGTGACTTTTTGAGTAGTGTTCGCATGGCGTTGTCGCCCTATTAATTAAAATCAAACCCAGTGGCCATTCAGAGTGCATTGAACTATGTAACAACTCTTACTTGTATGTGTAACATCAAATCTCTTGCTATTTCCAAATCTAAAATCAATTTTCATTTTCAGACTCATTTCCCAATACTGCGAGAGCGCGCATAAGTTGATTAAATCTCTACATGCACAGCTGCACACATTTCGCCGGCTATCTTCACGTAATTTACTTTAAAGGAAAAATCTAGAAATCATTTGCTGGCAGAAAACTGTCAACATTAATATTCGAGTATTTTATTAGAAATAACAAGGTAACAAGTCAAGAGAAAAGGTCGTACACTAGAGGAATAGATAGAGCACTGATTATTGTGATGAAAACAGGTGCATTGTCATTTCTAATGACTACATAAACAAATTTGGAAAGGGTTCATTACATTCGTCAGAGCTCGTTGTCTACGGATGCTTATTTACATTTCAATCTGTATCATTTCAACAATGATTGTTAAGCCACTAAGTATGACATCCTGTTCCTTTGCATTCATAGTTCAGTATGAAACACCTCCATGGTCCATGTTACTCATTTTTTGAAGGAGGGTCAGGAATGCTCTTTGGTGACATAGTACATGTAATTTTGTCACAGGTCGACGACAAACGATCTTGCTACTATCTTGTAGCAGATGTATAATCTCTTTTTATTTAGTGTTAATTTTTGCATTTGTTAAATCAAACTGATATTAATGCGGAATTGTGAATGGGGGGGGGGGGGAGAGGAGCTTATGGAGTGCCAATGTCCTAGCTTTCTCAGGCGTATGTTGATGACCGACTAACTTCTTGTCAGATTGGTTGTCTGTAAACATATACCTCCCGGCGTATAGATGTTCACTTGCCTCCATGGCCTGACATTATTCGACTTCGTATCATATTCGTATTTTCATTGTATATTTATCTGCCCGGAGCGGATCCAGAGGACAGGGTGGGCGGGTGCGAGGGAGGGGGAGGGCGTAGGCTACTGGGGCAAGTGCCTCATCTCGGCCAGCATCTGCCTGTAGTTGATATACGCGTGTCGCCCGCCCCCCTCCCACTGACAACCATGCACTTAATTATGACTCTTAAGTGTAATTGCTCCCTTTTTAATATTGCTTATCAAATACTCAAATACTTTGAACACATACTTGATCCCCCACTTCCTGTCAAAAATCCTGTACCCCTCCATTTTCTGGCATTTAAGCAATCACTAGTTCACATTTCTCCTTTTACGCCACAGGTGTACATAAATATAAATAAGAAATTGTGAGCAAAAATCTTTAAGCTTCAGAAGACGCATTATTAAAGCTCCTGATGGGACAGCTGATAGTCCATGATTTGCCTTCAAGGCATTCGCCTTTTTACAGGATTTGAAGAATAAATACGGACTTTAATGAGACAAAGTGAAGTATGACGTTTAAACATTGTCTACGATTTCTGTTTTATCAGGAAATATCCTCCCACTCCATTTAATCGACACGGTTTAAGCACATTTTAAAATGAGGTTTAAAAGTGAAATGAGAATTTGAGCGTGAATCTTTCTTTTACATTCTATTGGAGAAACGGAGAGAAGATATTCTTTTCTTAATTTAGTATATCACCTCTTCTCTCAATTTATATCGTACTCTCTCGATTTAGTATGTCATACTAAATGTTAAATCTTAAGCATCGGGTTTTTCTTTCTCGACATATCCATGGATTGAAATAATGATAAATTCAGTAACAAAATGTAATTACGCGATACTGCAAGAATTGGATGAACATTAGAGTGACATTTCATTTGGTAAGGCATGATCACGATATTTGAATAAAATATATCGAGCTCGTGATTTTTTTCATCTCGTCTTTCAATTTTTAATTATATGCACAGAAACAAGTGCATGCTTAAAAATCAGACGCCAACACGATCCTTCAAAAATCGAAAAATCTTTCCGGTCCGTTGAAGGCATTCTCAGAGCTATCCATTACCAATCCTAAACATAGTATCTAGTATTGGCGCCATAAATTGATACGACAGGAAGTGAGAGAGTGTCATGTTGAAACTGACTAAAGAGAATGCATTTTCATGGTTACTGGTTATTTGAGGAGAGAAATGGACTCCAGAAGATGCTAAATCAATGTTTTTTTTAGTGTTTTCAAGTCAATCGCACTAAATCGCCTTTTCAGGTACCCACTTTTATTTAAAGACGTTAATTAAGCATCCGGGCTATTATGAAAAATCATAAATTTGAAAGCTAAAAATAATTCTGCATCGTCTATAAATCTGGATTTGGTGCGTTTTTCGATTTGAACTGAGATCTTGAGGCAATACGTTTCCATTCACATCCAAACTTGTAAATACTTAATGATTAAGGATCCGAATCGTCAAAGAATTAATAAAATCTAAATTTGAGTGGATGTCAAGCTTCCTTGGCAACGGAAAGCAAAATCGGTTCAGAATCGTAGTGACGTCAGACCAATAGTACGGTTTTCTACAATTATTTGAAGCCGATTTGGCTTTTATTCTGACAAGCCGGCTTATATGCTATACAATTCCAGCTGTTAGTATTCTCATCAGTAACCTTAATCAAGAAGTTGATGTTTGTTTAGATTTCCATGTCTAGCGAATTGTCATTTATTCGACAATTATTGAATCGAAGGAGGATCGTATAGTGTGCGGTGGGCTTAATGTAATAACAATTGTTGATGCAGTTTCTCGAGAAAGAAAGAGCTTAATTCGGTTCCGCGAGGCGTTCAGTCTAATGAAGAGGAAGAAGGGAAAAAGCCATGTTTTCACCAAATCATAACATTGTCCATGTTTGCTTAGTGTTACTAATGGAAGGTGAATAAATAAGTAGCTTCGAAATAATCGAAACTGATTTTTCGCGCCTTTTAGAAGAGAATTAAACATTATTACTCACTCCAAAGCAATACAGTTTGCCAGGCATCAACAAGTTAACATTGAAGCAGACACTTCAAATACTTTTTTTTATAATTCTAGTGGGGTTTGTAAGGTTTATGTTTGAAGCCTTTCACCCTTTCAAGATTGTTATAAGAGATTCTGAAAGCCTTTAAATTTGTCTATGTTTGTGGAAAATCTATTCCAAATAAGATAAAGAGTGAATAAATGACAGGGCATCAAAATAAATCAGTCCAGGGGGGGGGGGGGTATCCTTGAAGGTTTTGTCTCCATCCTGTTATTCAATTTTAGGTACGCTACTGCATGGTCATGCAACTCAATCAACCTTGAGGTTTTTTTAAAGTTTTTTTTTAAAGCCTACAGGCGAAAATGTCAGTGAAAATGATCGGCGAAATTTAGAACAAATTTGAAATACCAACGAGAAATTCAATGAATTTGCCGATTGTATGAATTTTGTCGATACATTGTATTACTAATAGAAATATCAATTTTGTAAATTGTTTTGTAACAGCGGATATCGGCGAAATTTAGAACAAAATTGAAATACCAACGAGGAATTCAATAAATTTGCCGATTGTATGAATTTTCGATACATTATATTACTAATGGGAATATCAATTTGGTAAATTGTGGTGTAACAGCAGATATCTAGGACTGTATAAAATTTCAACTGTATAGGCCTACAATAAATGGAAGAATTTTCCCCAGTCAACGACCAATATACTTCATTGAATAAGGAATCTCACTTTTCACACAGTCGTGTGTCCAATTTCTTAAACATTAATAAAACCATTTCTCTGAGTATTCTGTTTTTTTGTAAATACTTCAACTGATGACAAAGGCTTGATTACTCTTTCACGATCTGCAGGAGAAAAATAACAGTCGTAAAAGCTTTCGAAAAATCAACCTAAGGCAATTTCAACTGCCTTCTCAATCACATTTTGAAGTTTTCCTGCATTACAATGATGGTTTGATGGTTTCTTTTACCTGACTGCTAAGAAGCATGGGTATGCTAGTAAGTAAGCAATCTGGGGACTGACGGCTTTAAGTCTTCTCCGAGGGGACTAGGTAACGAGGATTAATGACTTCCCGTAGGGCACCGGCAAATACAATTGGTTCGAACCCGGGTCCACAAACAAGACCACTGCTCTTTCACTGGGCCATCTCCCCTCTTAATCCTACATTACCCGACATGATTTCTGTGAAATCTAAATGAGGTATTGAAATTGTCTGTGTGTTGTTTTCTTGAATGTCTATGCGATCAAGGTTATCCAAGTTTAATCTCTATAAGGCCACATGCACACTACTGTTATAGTGCTTTGTACACGCGAGCGCGCTATCGATTGGCTGCTTAATTCACGCAAGCGAGTCACAGCTTAGTTGCTTTATGCATGCATGCTCGCATTTGTAATAGCAGTCATTGTTCATGCTCATTGTACTTGAGAGTACTTCGCACCGGTTAATGATGGCACCATCAGATTATCTCAAAATAAACTCGGCACAGGGGGGATATGTGGTTTGGCACAATGGGGATTAGCCCTGTGGCACTGGACTGTATTCATTATGGGAGGATGTATATATACTTACACTTTAAGAAGAACTTGTGATTCATCCACAGTCCAGGAGATCAAATTTGGGACAGCATCCAGGTTGCATCGTGTAATTTGTCTGAAGTCGCAAGAAGAAACAAAATAACGATTTTTAAAAGATGATTGGTTCTACAAATTCTAGGACTACTTGTAGCATTGAAGAGAAATATACTTAAGTTTGTTTTGTCCGAGTATTAAGTTCAGCTTTGTGTTCTTTTTTGTAGTTTACTCAAGATGGAAAGCTCCAGGATGTTTTTTCATCAATAGGATATCAGGAGATTCTATGATGGGTAGGCTCATAATGAAAAAGTTGGTTTAATTGAAGCAGAACAACTTAAGTACATATAACACTGGAGCTATCTCAAGCTGTCTAAACATTTGAAGAAAAAAAACACTCTTAATTTGGTATGAAAGCGAGGATAGATTGCAGTATATACTGGCGGTTTTATTTATTTATTTATTTTTCATTTCTTCATTTATATATATATATATATATATATATATATTTTTTTTTTTCTTTTTCTTTATTTCTTAATTTTTTTGAGGGGGGGGGGGGGTCGTGCCCCCATTAAACCATATTTATAATTTCGTAAGTACAATACATACACTAATTCGCCTGTCAGCGATCTTTCGGCGACCCCCCCCCCCCCCGCCCCTCCGCCACTTACGGAATCTCTGATCTAAAATACATTACATCACATTACATTACACTACAAATAAATTAATAAATTAAGTAATTAATACCCTCCTTTCAAGATTCTGACATATTTTTCATCCACAAAAATCTTTCTCAGGATAGTAAAAGTTAGTTTAAAACACTTCCCACGACAAGTGTAATAAACATGACTTATATTAATCTTAGTTAATATGTCTTTTTGTGAGTGGGTGAACACCTAGGTCGGTTTAAGGACAATTTTGTGAAAACTAAGAAGCTGTTGATTTCCAGGGGCAAACACTAGCAGGAGCTTTTAATAGGTCAATTCACAATTTGGTAAATTCTTTTGGGAAAAAGAATCTCACTCTAATGTAATTATATTACTTTTCCCCCACGAACAACTACAATAACTAATCTTATCAAATTACGCAAGGAGAGGGGTTTTTGCTATCGGAGCTATCTCATACTATCCCAAAGAGACAACCAGGAAGTATATAATACGATCTTGTCCGCGATAAAAAATGGACCAATGATTTAAAAGAGCTTGCAGGATGGAAATAGCCAAGGATTTCATACTGAGAAAACAAATTAGGTTAATTGAACGAAATCCATTTTTGGAATATTTGGTTGCAACATAAATCTAGGGGGAAATTCAGAAAAATTGGTTTTTAGAGCGATGAAGAGGAGAAAGTTACATATAAGCAACACATGTTGTTTATTCTAAAATAAGACTGCACTGCCCCCGCTCTTAAATTTGGCGCATAACAAACTTATATTTTGTTCTTTTTTTTAAACATAACGGTCAATACTTTTTTTATTTTGGTATAATGAAGTAATGTTATCCGAAACTCCTCCCCTCCTGATCTCCAATACAATGAGAAATAACTGACAATATACATGTACTTACAGTTGGGTGAGACGTGGCAATTCTCCGAAAATGTTGGGTAACGGCATCTGAAGCGGAAGATTTTCTAATTCTCTAGGGAGAGAAAAAACGACAAGGAAAAATAATTACATCAAAATTACACGAGAAAAGAGAGGTGAACGATTGCGTACGAGGAAATAGAAAGAAAGAGAGAGAGAGAGAGAGAAAGAGGGAGAGAGAGTGTGTGAGAGAGAGAGAGAGAGAATGAGAGAGAGAGAGAGAGAGAGAGAGAGAGAGAGAGAGAGAAACTGCGTAGATGTGTAGGATGATGAGATCTAGAAAAAAAAGGCAGATGATAAAACGTGAGACAGGGACAGAACTATAACGAATGAATGAAAGAGAAAAAAGAGAGAGAGAGAGAGAGAGAGAGAGAGAGAGAGAAAAGAGAAAGAGAGAGAGAGAGAGAGAGAGAGAGAACGAAACCAGATCTCATCTATATCATTAAACCTGAACGAACAACACTTACATCAAGATGAGTTGACTTTTGGAAAATGCCCCTTCCTCGATGACCGTCAGTTTCTCACTGTTTCTAATGGATCTGTATAGAATATAATTCATTAAAAATAAAATGCGGAATTGAAGGTAAAGCCATTCCATACAATTTCACAAGGAAGAAAAGTAAGCTCATGAATTTCATTTTATGAACGAAAGAATATCAAAATTTACACAAGAAAGATCTTAACTCGCTTGGTTTATCATTTACGACATGGGTTATCAACGTTAGACATGTTTATTACTTGTATGCATATGCCCACTTTTTGAACAAACGTTTGCCTTGATAACTGTAAAACTGGTTGCGGTTTGTCAGACAAAGTTGATTCCTTTCTATTAATATGAAGCTGTGGTGCATAGCCGATTAATTGAATAAATAGTAACTACGATTTCTGGAGAACATGAATTTGAAATACATCAGTAAACAGGGCAGTGTTTCACGAAACAGCGTTTTCACTGTGAGGAGTTGTCATTATGCAGTTGTCCTAGGGGCAGTTGTCTGGACGACAATTGTCGTAGAAGGTTGCTGTCCTAGGATAGGGGCAGTTGTCTGGACGACAATTGTCTTAGAGGGTTGCTGTCCTAGGATAGGGGCAGTTGTCTGGACGCCAATTGTCGTAGAGGGTTGCTGTCTTAGGATAGGGGCAGTTGTCTGGACGACAATTGTCGCAGAGGGTTGCTGTCCTAGGATGATAACAATTCAAGGGGATCCATCCTGATATGATCATACGGCAGATTGAGTCATTCGGGTTTGAACGCCACAGGTTTTCGACGTGATAGAGAGCGCATGCATACAAAAATAGTTGTTTGAGAGCTCAACATTTGTGTTATTTTACATTACTAACACTAATATTAAAACTCATCGGAAATTATGGACCGAATAGAATAACAATTGGAAGAGTGGTGACTCTATCTCTTACTATACATTCAACTTTTATTCAGTCCACATTGTTCTGTTTTCTTTATCCAAGTTTACTGAATTTATTACTGAAAAAATCGATTCTCCGAAGCGTATACAACCTGGGAAATTGACGTTCCTATTTGAGCGTGTTTAGAGACGAAATCCCTTTTCCTCTTTTTTTCTCCGGCATGAAAAGAAGGAGCTATCGATTTCAAAATGTAACACATCTGTTCGTGCGACACTCAGGTATTTCATATTGGTGATACGAACAAAAAGAAAATAGTCATTTTCATTTGACAGCGCTTTTTTCAAGTCAATATTTGATATTGCTTAAATGAATTAGAATTTAAAAGAAACATGATCGCAGAGACTATCAAAAATCAACCTCAGGCGATTTCAATATAGCCTTGTAAATCATCTGTTGATATGTGCGAAAATTAGAATAAGATATTATTTCATCCGGATGTTCTTTCTATTGGATACGCAACAGGATATTGAATTTACCCTCGAGTTGATTTCTCAAATATCTTTGCGATTGGCTTTTAGAGTAAATTTCTTTATCTTGTACTCACATTGTTTTCAGCACAGGAAAATACAGGAAATCCGTCTTCAGGATGACTTCAATGTCTGTATAATCGATGTACCTGAAAGATACAACAGAATAGGGTAAGGTCAGTAAGGACGGAAAATGATAAAGTATTATGACTACTTCAATGAATTATCGAGATAATTACGAATTTTTATCTTAAAATCATGATAATGAACATATAGTAAACAACAGTACGGTCTTTGTAATAATCAGTGTAGTTCTAAAATAGTGTAACGAAAATACAAGATAATTGTGAAAGAAAAGGTAAAAAGGAGAGGACAAAAACCAAGGAGAGTGAGGAGAACAAAAACAGGAAGATGCGAGTGAAAAATTTAAATACTGACTAAATGTAGAAGTGATACGCCCAAAAGATAAAAACAAATGTATAGAAAATGTAATCATTAAATGCTAACACGAGCCAGTGACGTTGTGTTGGCCCAGCCATTCGAGAGGACAAGGCTATAAAGAAGTCGGACGTGGGGGGGGGGGGGGGGGGGGGGAGGAGTCGTATCACATTTTCACAACGTCTTTCCCTTCTCTCTTCTTTCTATCCCTATCTCTCTCCCTCTCTCTGTATCCCTCTCTTTCTTTGGGGGGGGGGGGGGTGGGGTTGTCGTGTTCTTCCTGTTGCTACTCCACTGACAACAGCGCTGTTATTTTGCTTGCGAATGACGATTAGTACATGTATATTACGAAATAGTGACGCACAAACACAAATACAGAAACAGAAAAATAGTGATTCAACAGATGGATTGAAAAGGATTCGTGGACAAAAGCAGCATCACAAAAACATATATTATCATTGCCAAAAGCAAGGTAGGTATAACAGAAAAAGTACTGAGGAGCAATTTATAATAGAAAAAAGGAACATATTTCATAAGAATATTATACAAACTTAAAATATGTTTAGGAAATCACAGTGCATAAGGAAATTAGAGTAGAGCTTGTTTATGACAGAATGACAACAACAACAAAACCACTCCATTAGTAGTAATTATTGATGCGTCATTTTTCAAATCGAATATGGTTTAAACGTAAAGTTTTCTCAACGATTGTATACTTAACACGTTCTGTTTAATTGTGTTTATTTATCTTGGTGTAAACAAAATATAAGGATAATATAAGTATATTTTGGAAGGACGAAACAAAAGAAATGGCATTCTTGAGTTCATAACTTTCTTCGTGTTTTCTCATAAAACAACAAACTATAGTATATCCTACACAGAAGAGAAAGAGAGCAATAAAAAAACTACAGAGGATTACAGAAAGGAAGATATGAACGACTAAGAATCAATGGAGACAGGCTCTATCTCTATTGTGTATTCGTCGCTTTGGTGTTATAGTATTTTCCTTATAGCTTTAGGATTTCCATGGTGAGTTTCTCTCAATTTCCTTTCCTATGTTAGCGCCTTCCTCCCCTTCTGGTGTAGTCAACGTGGTTAATTGGACGAAAGGATTGCAAACCTATTTCACTTCTAGATATAAAGATAATTTGGAGTATTTGAAAATGTGAACAAATAATCCATGAGCTTTTTTGTTCACTTTATTCTCATGAGGACGAAAGTCATAACAGCAACATCGCATGAAAAGGACACGATTTAATTAAAAACTATACACTAAACATATGACTTGCATTTTTGATTTTCCCCTTATACAATCACCCGTGTTCAGTATTATTCTTCTTGTTCATTTTTTTTTTTTTGGGGGGGGGAATATGATTATGCCGTAGTCAAACGGTTCACTTTTAATGATTAAAAATCACGTAATATACAATTCAATAATTCCCATTCAAAAAACAACCATTCCGGGTTTTTTCTCACAATGCTACTGTGCAGCAAACAACTATTGCATGGGCATGGTGAGGGAAGTCAATTCTTCCTAGATGGATCGACACACACCAGCAAGCGCGAGACATCTTTATCAAAGAGACAAAACATTCTTTAAAACGTCTTTCATTTCTCTGAAGAAAAAAACACTTCAATACTCCTGACTTGCAATACCCCCCCCCCCTCAATTTCAAATGTCAGCTGGTATGCAGTATGACTGAGGAAGGTTCGGAAATCAGAGAGAAACATCCGCGAGGGGGCAATAGAAAACCATCTCTTCAACACAATGGTAGCGAAACATGGATCTCAGTGTTGGCTCGCTCTCGAGCCGGAGATGCTCACCATCTTGCCTTTGGACATCAGCATCCTCATCATCGTCATGTAAAATGAGATTATTCGATGTCGCTTCCGCTGTTGTTCGCAGTCATGGTCGTGAGAGCACCTCGATATGCTTTGGAATTGGAAGAACCCCTTCCAGGTAAAAACGACTTCCCAACTGTCACAACAATTGTCGCCTCGTACCGCACGAGTCGTGTAATTACGCCACCACCGGGCATTCCTTGTCGAAAGCGACGGTTTGTTCTATACAAAAAATGACGAAGAGGGATTGACAGAGAGAGAGAGAGAGAGAGAAAGAGAGAGAGAGAGAGAAGGGGCAATGGACGGAGAAATGAGGATGAAGAGAGATAAAGAGAGTGAGACACATGTTGCAGAAAGGGAGGAAGGGAGAAAGAGACACAGACAGACATAGAGACGGAGAAGTGAGAGACACGCAGAGAAAGAAGAGAAAAGAGATAGAGGGAAAGAGAGAAAGAGAGATAAAGAAATCCAACTCCTGTTCAAGCAGGCGTTCCGATCGGATGTGCGATCAAGTGTTGTAGTTGTCTTATCCGCCGTGACTTACCAATCACAATACCAAGAGTAACTTCTTGACAATACTAAAAGACGGTATATTATAGTCTCCTTACTCAAAGCTACGGCTAATGAAGATTCTTTGCATATACATGTACACTGTCGCTCTTAAAGGTGGAATATTTTTTTTTACACAAATTTATGGAATTATTTTAAAAATGATTTAAAAATAATAGATCTAGATAATAGTATACGTTCTCGGATTTTATTGAACAATAATTTGCCAATGTGTGTTTTGCGTGACTGCTAAAAAGCATGTGTATGCTACTATGCTTATCAACTAGGGGGACATACGCCCTTAAGTCATAAATGACAGTAATGAGGAATAATGCCCCACAAAAGGGCACTAATATAGCACATCGACACGGTTTTGATCCTGGGGCCTCACAGTTACGAGGCCATTGCTTTGTCACTGAACCATGACTGTACGCAGCGGGGGCTAGGGTAGGGGGCACTTTCCATAAATATAAAAAAAGAAAAGAAAATGCAATAAATTGTCAATAATTTATTGCATTTATCCCGGTTCCCAACATAACAAAATCTTCTGTGTGCCAATGCCTTGAGCCATAATGCATGGCCGTCCAGAAGATTTTGTTATGTTGGGGACCGGGGTAAAATGCAATAAATTATTGAAAATTTATTGCATTTTCTTTAAAAAAAAATATTTATGGAAAGTGCCCCCTACCCTAGCCTCCGCTGTGTACAGTCATGGTTCAGTGACAAAGCAATGGCCTCGTAACTGTGCGGCCCCAGGATCAAAACCGTGTCGATTTGCTATATTAGTGCCCTTTTGTGGGGCATTAATCCTCATTACTGTCATTTATGACTTAAGGGCGTATGTCCCCTAGTTGATAAGCATAGTAGCATACACTTGCTTTAGCAGTCACGCAAAACACACATTGGCAAAATATTATTCAATAAAATCTGAGAATGTATACTATTATCTAGATCTATTATTTTTTAATTATTTTTGAAATTATTCCATAAATTGGGGTAAAAAAAAAATATTCCACCTTTATGAGCGACAGTGTATAACCATCTGTAAAGCCAGAAAGACTGTCACCTTACATCCGCCATGAAGTCAAAATAAAGAGCAAATTGCCACCGAGTTTCAAAGCTTTTTAAACGAATCTCATCAATTCATGTAATCAAATTTAAGAATCTTGATTTTGCCCGTTGAAATCAAAAGTCTGAGAGGAGAGTATGTATGCAGATAGGCAGTGGGGGAGGGGGCTAGTACCTTTCCCTTTTTTCTTGAGCCTCTCGATGCCTCTTATGTTCTTCGGCACTAGGTGAGGCAACAATGGCTGTGAGTTATAACTCGGGGGGGGGGGGGGGGAGAAGATATACCCCTAGTACAAGGTCATGCACATCTAGATAATATTTCATAAAATATGAAAAAATAAGTCCATGCAAATAGGAGTTAGTAAAAGACGTAACGTGAGCCTGTCAAAAAAGTGTTCGTAAATGATCATGCAACGCCTGGCTGGAATGCTCCCCAGGGAGTGGAGATTGTGCACACATTGTGTGCGGGTAAGCACTGAATCCAATGACCGGGGTAATAATATATTTGTAAAGCGCTTAGAGACATTTGTATTTAGCGCTATATAAATTAAATTTATTATTATTATTATTATAGGTATTATAAACACAGTCACTTTGCATGGTATTTCTACTTCTACAGTGTAAGTGGGGCCAAATATCTGATTTATTTTTCTTCGGAGTGTTGGGAACATTTTCAGAAAATAGATGTGTACTTATTACGTTTTAACGGTAATGCGTAACGTTCCATCCCTTTTTTCACGAGTAACATACACCATATATAGAAAATTTGAAATGTTGTCCACGGTTTGAGATGATGGTAGAGAAACGTGGAGCTTGTAAACGTGTAATCCGCGCGGAAAGATGACATTGATTACGCCATCCCTGGGCCAAATAATTTCCGCATCTCAAGATCTTAAAGGATCAATTCCAAGGCCGCATGTGACGTCTGCCAATATTAGTAGCATCTGTAGAACAGACTGGAATACAGAATGAAGTCGACCTACATGGTTGGAGTTAAACTTAAAGGTAATAATTAAATTGATTTCGTGGGGGTGTGCTTTAACCCTAAAAAGGCAGGGCTACTTGAGGTCTACATACGGCCAGGGGGGGGGGGGGGGGGTGGCCATTATACCCCCCTTCGACCTCGGCCTAGGAAGGTCCAATTAATGTGAAAATTAGCATTGTGATAAATTGAAGTATATTGCATAAGGTAGTAATGTTTATTTTCTTTTATGTTTATTTATTTATCTTTTCTTAACATTTTTATGACAATATGCATTTTTTTTTTTTTTGGGGGGGGGGGATATACTTACACACGCACATTTGTGAGAATTACATATTTTGATAGACATGCGATGATATTTGTCACCTAACACCCGAACCATAGGTCTGTCCATAACAAATTTGGTATTAAAATGTGCGGGAGACATGAGGGAAAAACTCAATGAAATTTCAGCGCCGAAGGTTCAGGGGTTTTTATGCAGCGGTAAACAAATCGACAGGGGACCATTATGGCCCCCGGCCTTATTAGGGTTGAACTGAACTCTAGGCTTGGGTACTAAATTTGTAAAACAAAGACAAAACATTAGAATTTATAAAATTAGTGTGTATTCTTTTAAACGAAAAGAATATCGATAGATAGGTCTGGATTGCAGAAGTAAAGAGATATGAACAATCTCTTCCCATTTAATAATTCATCGCGAAAATAAGACAAGACTCGGAGATTACCAGAAAAAATATGAAAAACATGACTTTATCCGGCACCGCCTTATTAACGTCATTGGACTATATCAATATATCTTGTTGTTATCGCCTGTGGTGCTGTGTCTCGTAGAAAGAGTGGGACAATGGGAAAAGTAAATGAGATGAAGGAAAAAACGGAGCAGAAGAAAGAAAAGACGAGAGGCAGAGAAAAGAAAGGGGGTAGACAACATAAGAGACAATGATACACAAATAGAGAGAGAGAGAGAGAGAGAGAGAGATAAAGAGAGAGAGAAAGAGAAAGAGAGAGAGAGAGAGAGAGAGAGACAAAGACAGCGAGTTCAGTGTAAGATATGAAACAGAGAAGGGGGAATACCTTCTCTATAGCTTACTTTACACCTCAGAAGCACCCCTATCAGGCCCTATCGGTGACATCTTGCTCGTCTCACTTTACCTCCAGTCTCAATCTCACTCCTGGAGTACCCATCTTGAAAATACCTCATGAATATTCAAACACCTCTCCTCCAAGCCCGATCAACCGTCCACAGGGTTTCTTGTCTTCTTCAAAAACGCCTGTTTTTTTTTTTGGTCGGGGTCGAGAATGGGCTAAGAGGTTTTCTCAAGAAAAGACGAAAAAGACAGTCGAACATAAAGATACACAGCAAACGAAGTGATCCAGGGAGACAGACAGAGACAAATCTTGATAAAACCGATAAAAAACCAACGAACATGGAGGTGAAAAGAAAGAAACAAATAATTGCGGATTGAACTACTCAAAAACAGTTTGACAATTCACAATAGACAAGCCCATTATCATTAAGCGCTATTTAAAAGCTGAATAATATTATTGTTATCATGATCATACATGTGTCAAATGAAGTTGCAAAGAAGAATGCCAATTGTCTTATTTGAAAAGCTAGAATAGAAGAGAACTGGACGTGCAGTTTGACCGATTACAAAAGCCGCAGACGGATACCGCGATGGTTGCCATGGCAAATAGTATCGAGTTGGAGGATATCGGTGCTTTTGGATGACTTTGGTTCGGATCTGTGTCGCCTGCGCCAAAATGTCAAGTGGGCTTTCTTGAGAATCTCGCTACACATGTTTGTTGAAACTTCCCCAAAGGGTTTGATCAACAACTGCATGTACAGTATGTGTTTCCGTCTTCCCCTCTTGCTTATCCATCTTGCTTAATTTTACCACTGCTTTCCTCTCAATTCCCTCTTGCACAAAATCACATTCTCTCTATCAGTTTCAAATATTATCGATCAACTTCAAGTTCAAGTTAATCATGTCTTTCACTCCTTCTTCCTTATCTACCCGAGTATCATCGCCAACGTCTAAACTTTCTTGCGCCCCCTGCATTTCGTACTTTACCCCCCCCCCCCTCTCCTCTCTCTCTCTCTCTCTCCCTCTCTCTCTCTCTCTCTCTCTCTCTCTCCCTCTCTCTCTCTTCCTCTCTGAATTATACTTCTATCTTATTTTGTTTCCTCCACTTTCCTTCTCTTCACTTTTGCATTACTTCATGATCTCTAGAGGAACATCAACAGTACTTCAAGTTTAAATTCATCATCGTCATCACCGCTTCGTCTACTATCTGTCCTCGTTTCTTTCTCCACCCAATATTTTTCTGTTTTGCCTCCCCTCTCTATGTCTCCGTCTATCTCCATCCAAGCACTAATTTCCTCTCTTCTCTATAGCAGAAGATCGAAATATCAGAATATGAAAAAAAGTTATCTATCAAGATCATGATCATCATCTGTATCGCCTTCCTTCTATCCTCTTATCACCTCCCCTCTTAAGCTTCTATTTCTCACGCCTCGTTCTATGTCTCCCTCTTTTTGTTTGTCTGATTCTTATCCGTTTATCTCACTTTTATTCATTCATTGTATTAATCTCTTCTGTGATATCAAAGCATCAGCTATTATATGTGAATTTGCGATCACGTTCAAACTAAAAACCTTCGATATTCTTTCGTTTCATCTCTGTCCTCTTGTGTCAGCGGTGCCTTTCTTTTCAACCACGTCTCTGTCACTCTAAATGTATCTCTTCTCTTTTTATCTCTTTTTCGCTCAATTGACTTTCCCCTTTCTCTATTCAAGTACAGTACATTGAATTTGTTCAGTCATGTCTCATTACTGACACACAATCATTAGTCTCATATATCTCAGTATCAGCTATCATTCTCCAATATCATTCATGTTCTAAGTCCCCCTCTTGTATCTCTTTACCGGCCCCTTTCTTATATCTTCAACTGCCTTCCCTTCTCCCTCTCTTCAAATCATTCTTGCTCTTCATTGCAGCTCTCGATAGTTTTCTAATTTCAGTGCATTTCGGTGTATAGCACAGTCTAACAAGACAGACGACTTAATTAACCCAATAGCTAGACTTGTAATGGAGACGAGTCTTTGCCTCTTGTCGACTGAGAGAAAAAACTAAACTATGTCACCGACAATTTGAAAGTGTGATTCACATCCTTGCAGTTAAAAACAAAATATCAGAAATAACCCAATGTATCTATTTCAAAGAACGATTGAAAAGGAAACAAATGTTGTTGTATGAAAAAATAGTCTAAAACTAAAAATTTGTCCATAAAAAAGGGAATTGAAACTGTATAAAAGCGAACAAAAATAGATATTGTTTTCCTTCGTACTAATTTTCTTTAAAGACACAATGACGAACATAATCGGATATTAATATTTTCCTATTTCGTTGAAAGTTGAGAGAAATTTCGTTCTGGGTTTGTTTTCCATACACTTGTAACATAAATACTTCGGATTGATTTCTATGCCATAGCCCCCCCCCCCCACCCACATACATACTTGACGTAGTTCAGGACTTTGTCTCGCATAACAAATACTGACAATTCGACTTGTTATATGAGCATGACACGTTTGATGTGGCTGCAGCCGATGTCTGACAAAATGTTATACGACGTGACGGAAGAGATCGATCATTACCACCTCTCTTTACAAACAAAAAAGATTTCATGATGACAATTTTGTTTCTAGATCTCACATCGTCAGCGAAGTTTGGTTTCATACAAAAGCTGAAGATGTTTAAATGGTTCACTTTCCTACTGAATAGCGAGGCGAAAGGGGGGCAAACGGAAATCGATTTCGAAGTTCGGGATGATGGTAATTCGTGATCATTACCGACGACCCAAATACGAACACCTAATCGTGTTATGAAAAGAATAATGGACAGATAGTGGAAGCTCATCATCAGAATAACAAAAACAAAAAGAAGAGAAATATGTATGAAGAGTCATTAGGCAACGCATCCGCATGTCTTTACGAGCGATTAAGAAAGTACTCTCAACTTTCATCAACTTTTGGAATGCACTTCATGGTCTTGGTTTCGTCCATTCAGGTAAGGGTGTCCGTACTTTGTGAGACCCACGATCTATTTCTTAGCAAGGCGAGATCGAAGTCACTCTTCATGAGCAGAAATATATCATCTCAATTCCAGATGTGAGATATTCATTCGATTTTCTCCTCTACTCGACGGAACTATAGAAGTAATTCAAGTTATTGTAGATTTAAGAATCCCCAGTGGTATGAAGCTTATAATTTTGTTGTCGTTTAAACCTGTCTATTATTTATTCCCCATATACTTTTATTAACCAGTATCATTTTATTTTTACCAAGATGCACCAAATTCAGGAATATAATAGTTGTCAGTTGATACGGTCCTAATTGAAACCGGTCTTACTCCTTTTGGGACTTTCAAACGTGTATAAATCAATCTAATAACATTGTACGGATACCCAAACTAAATAATTAGCAAACCTTATCAATGTTAATAGAAGAATGAAAACTGGCATGAACGCCCCCATTGTCTATTCGTCACACTTGGTGCACCATTTATCTCCAGTTACCATATCCCCATTCGATTTCCAGAAATAGGGGAAGGGAATAAACATGGTATTCATTTCTGGGGCACGGAGAGGCAGAGAAGGGCAATTTCTCACCTCAAAATAGGGGTTGCCAAGTGTAAGCAATTATAGGATGGTATCCAGGGAATTTCTTGAGCAATTCCAAGGCTCATTGCATCTATTTCACATTCAACATTCTAACCTTAATTTTGTGTGACTGGAAAATGAAACATTGTTATTCAATTTGGCTTATAAAAGTTTTAGACAACCTGTTTTTAAAAAGCTCTACAAGTAATTTGGATTAGTGAGGTAGCACGAGTCCACCGACAGGAAAGATTGGAAGGGGGCATCTGTCTTACTTGAAAAATAAATGACAATTTACAAGTACATTGATAGGGCTCCAAAAGGTGGTCCATGCGTATTCTGTAACCGTTCTTTTTCCTTCCCCCTTTCTCGTTATCTCTTTTCTACTTTGTCTTTATCTTATTTTTCCTACCTCTCGATTGGGAGTTGGCACGTGTCCATTGACTACTGACTTGGATATAAAGTGAAAAGTTTGATTTATTTTCTCCATTCAGTGCTAATACAAAGAATGGCAGTTATATCGAGCTTACTATCCCACGAAAAAACCCACAAAAAGATGCAAAAGGAATGTCCTGCTAAAGATAAAGGGTACAGTGCCCCTGGAATACTTTGATTTAAACATGTGCTCGCCATGATCTTTAACCGTGATCGCCATGATCTTTAACCGTCCTAGGCCTAGCAGACAACATCTTGGAACCTTAACGCCCAAGCGGATCCTGCTTGTGTGCACGCAGGTGCTATATACGACTGATTTGCCGCATCTTTGAATATTTATTAAGCAACAAGCGCCCCCGGGGTTCCCGTTTCAAAATACCGTACCGCTTACATTATTTTCCCTCTGCAAAAGGGGTAATAAGTCAGGTCCGTTCGTGTTATGAATGTGACTCGAACGCTCTTACTTTAATACGGAGAGTCTTGTCATTTATTGAAGGGTTCGTCTTCCCTCAGTCGCTTCGTTTTAATTTCAGATGCCAGAGGAAATAGCATTTCAAACTTTTTTCTGCGAGAGTATTCCATGACTGTATGAGCTATCACAGCAAAAGCTTAAAGGTTCCGTATATTTGTACATCTTAACAATCAATAAGTCGCATTTCGTTGCTTTAAACTAGTGATTAGTAGCCTTATAATCTGAAAAAAAGAAAATAATAAGCATCCATGATGATAGTTCCTCTTAAAACAGAGTCTAACGCAATCAAGAATTTCAAGTATTATGGCTTATCAGAAGTGGTTTATATCAAACCAACTCTGCTAGATCAGGATGGGATTGCATTACATTGTTTCCGTGACACTTAAAGAAGGCTACAGAAGCAAACACATATTTATGAACACGTATTGCTACATAGAAGAACTCTTTTGATCCATTTCTCTTATCCCACGTCTAATATCTCCAGCATTTAACATGATGGGAGGAAAAATTCCAAATAAAGGTTTATTTAGGCTCAAAGGTCAAATTTTTATCTCACTTCACAGCCATTGATCCTTTGATGGAGAGAGGCATAAACACTGGCTTTGACGATGATGGTGGT